TTAAATTTTCTAACCCCCCCCCCCCCCCCCCAAAAAAATATTTTTTTCCCTAACATGACCCATCTCGCTCCTACTTGCCCATCATCATAAGTTCCAAACCGTTTCATCTTCGGTGTTGGCGAATCGCGTGCAGCTTTTGGGAATCTCGCTCAACATACGCGCGAGTACCGACTACGAGAAGTTTATGGAACTACCTTTGATCGCCCTTGGGATTTTCCTTATGGTCGTCTCCCTTGCATGCCTCATCAACGATTGTTGCAGTGTTTCGTGGCTTCTCTGGCTTTACCTTTTTGTCATGTTTATTCTCATCTTGTTTATCTTCTGCTTCACTATTTTCACCTTTGTTGTAACCAATAAGGGCGCATGCAACTAGGCGAGGTCCTCTCTGGTCGCAGGTATAAAGACTATTGTCTCGGTGATTACTCTAATTGACTACATAAACGGGTATTAAACGATGGGAACTGGGCTATGATTCAGAGTTGTATTCGTGATAGCAAAGTATGCAACAGTTTAAACGAGAAGAACCAAACGTTTGATCAATTTGTTAATTATAACCTTACCCCCCTTCAGGTATATCGATCTTCAAATCGTCCTCACGTTCTTTCAATCTTACAGAACTATTTTAAGCCCTTTATTTATTTTTAACTGATCAAGGTATTTTTTGTTACAAGTTTGAGATCTTACAACTTACAATAATTTTGTTTGAGTGAGAGGACATGTGTTCTTCGTCATATGCAAGTTTAATTTTTTGGGCCTTCTTTTCTTGTTTAATTGTCTTCTTTTTTATCTTTTTTCTTGGAAATTGTTATGATTTCTTGCTAAAATTTTATTTTTCTTGTCTTTTTTTTTTCTTTATTAGTTGACTTGCATGCTACCAGTTGTGCTTTAGTTTGTGTTTATTTATGTTTATAAGTTTCTCTGTGTATTTTGATTCCAAGAATACTAAGAATGTTTAATACTTTTGATGCTAGTTTCCTGTAATTGAGAGACTCAAAAAACAAGATGTTAAATCTTAATTTTTTTAAGATCCTCTTATAAGATATTTGGCGGGATTTGGTTTGATTCTAACTTAAATTCTCCTTAAAATGGCCAACCAAACAAAGGCTAAAATAGATGATGAACCAAGTTTTGTAAAGAATATTCAAAATTTTGAATTAGCTAACATAGCTTTTCTCATTAAAAAAAGATTGATCAATATTCACCAGTGCAACAACTAGTAGAGCATGTAGGCACACTAATAATTTAGTTAAAAGCAGGCATGGGGATCTGAATACTATAAATCACCTACTAAATCATACATAGACAAAATTATCCATATTTTTATATATGAAAGGAGACAAGGTTGTCTTGATGCCTTAGAGACTTGGCCATTGCAAGAGTGTAAATGAGCTACTTGGCCACTACAAGAGTTTGCCCACGCTAAAAAAAAGGCTGGATCCGGCCCTATACCTTCTAGTGAGAAGATCGGCTCAGCGAGCTAGTCATGTGAGCAGGTTGAAGATCGAGCTCAGAGCTAACGTTGGTTAGGGCGAGGGATTGGGAATCCAAATTGAGAGCAAGGAAGGGGAAACACCCATAATATGGAGCATCTTGCGGTTTCCTGCGATCGGGAGAGACGAAGGAGGCTTCGACCTGGCTTGCGATCGAGAAAGCCCAAAGTAGAGGGGCTTTAGCTTGCTGATGTCGGGATCGAGCATGAGGGAGCTTGTCTAGTTGGAGCTTGGGGGCTTATCTGGTCCAGTCGAGCTGGTTACTCATGCTAGAGAGGAGGGGAGAATGATATATCGTTGGAGCGAGGCTAGTTCAAACTAGTAAGGGAGAAAGACGAAGATGGTTTAGGAGGATAGCTAGGGCCAAATGAAAAAAGATAAGGAAGAGGGAGAGCTGGAGCATGTGAATGAACCGAATTCCCTCATCAAACCTCCCTTCGCTCTCTCTATACTCGGGATTTAGACTTCCTTTACCAGAGCTGGAGCGCTTAATCCCTGTTTCGGTGGCTATAAGATTTCTCTGCCCTCCATATCTTTGTTGCAGCCGCCGATATCAAATGAGACGCCATTGATTTTAGATGGCTAAATGTCTACATCTGCCTCAATTTGACTTGATTTGAGTTCAATTTGTTCATATCGAATTTATTTGACAAAATTGGAACCATATTGGAGCTAATTCAAGCCTAATTGGGTTTGACAAGGCTCAATCGAGGGGATACGAGTATGCTCGAGGTGACATATACGAAAACAACGTCAACATGAACTTACTTTGGGCTTTTGGGGTTTATAATAATTCCATGAAACTAATTTTAGTATATGAACCTTCACACTCAAATATGACTTTTATACATCGCACTGCATCTATACAATATTTCATTTAAATCCCATATATATATATATGTTGCATCCTGGAATATTCGCGGCGGTAGAGAAATATATGGTTTAACGTCTTAGCATTATACGAAGATCCAGCACACAATCAGATAAATGAGAGGGTGTAGCGTTCATAAGAGACACCAGAGTTTTTACATGGAAAATCCCTGAAAAGGGGAAAAAACTACGGGGCTTAGCCCAGTTTTAATAAATCCACTAGTATTTGCAGTCAATTACAAATGAGGCTCTTCCTTGGAAGAAGGCCTTGGATTGATGTAACAAATGTATATCATATAAAGTGCATTACATGGTGGGAGTTACATATACATGTTTGTTTGGTCGGGAGGGTCGTAGTAGGTAAGAGACGGGGGTCGGAAAGACCGTTGTTGGTATGAGACGGGGGTCTGAAAGATTGTTGTCTAGAGATGGAGGTCGGAGTGACCATAGTAGGCGACGGAGGTCAGGAGTACCGTAGTCAGTAAGAGACCGGGGTTTGAAAGATCGTTGTCTGGTGATGGAGGTCGGAGTGACCATAGTAGGCGAAGAAGGTATGAAAGACCGTAGTCGGCAGGAGATAGGAGTCTGAAAGACCATTGTTGGCATGAGACCGGGGTTTGAAAGATCGTTGTCTAGTGATGGAGGTCGGAGTGACCACAGTAGGCGATAGAGGTCGGGAGGACCGTAATCGGCAGGAGATAGGAGTCTAAAAGAACGTAGTAGAAGGATGGTACATCGATAGAACTCCGGGCGTTAGGTGATGGCCTGGTGGAGCTCGGGGCCTCAAGTGACAGTCCGGCGGAAGTCCAAGCTTTAGGTAGTGTCCTGGTGGAGCATAGAGTCTTAAGTGGTGGTACGGCGGAAGTCCGGGCCTCAGGTAGTGGTCTAGTGGAAGTCCGGGCCTCAAAATGTGGTCTGGCAGAAGTCCGGGCCTCAGGTGGTGTTCGATGGAGCAACGACGTCAGGCGGTGGTCCGGTGGAGGTGAGGGCCTTAAGTGATGGTCCCGCGGAGCTATGACGTTATGCGGTGGTCCGGTGGAGGCGAGGGCCTCAAGTGGTGGTCCGGCGGAGCTACGGCGTCAGGCGGTGGTCCGGCGGAGGCGAGGGCCTCAAGTGGTGGTTCGGCGGAGCAACGGCGTCAGGCGGTGGTCCGGCGGAGGTAAGGGACTCAAGTGGAGGTCCGGCGGAGTTACGGCGTCAGGCGGTGGTCTGGCGAAGGCGAGGGTCTCAGGTGGTGGTTCGGTGAAGGAGAGAGCCTCAGGTGGTTGTTTGGCAAAGGCGAGGACCTCAGGTGGTGGTCCGGCGAACTCATGTGGTGGTCGAGGAGGAGCTCATTCCTTCTCTTCTTTCTCTTCTCTTCTTGCTTGGATCCTCCCTCAAGAGAAATGAAAGGTCTATTTATAGATTTTTGGAGTGACATGACCTATAAATATCTGAGAGATCAAGGGTAAATGCGGAGTGGTTGCATGGATGGCCGATGTTGAATCCCTTGATCATGAACCATTTGATGGACATTTGAGAAGTCCGACGATGAGTAGAAGTTCGCTAACGAGCAGAAGTTCGACGTTGAGTAGAAGTCCGCTGACGAGCGGAAGTCCGACGTCGGGTAGATGTACTGTCGGGTAGAAGACTGACGAAAGTTCATCGACGAGCAGAAGTCCGACGACGAGTAGAAGTCCGCTAACGAGCAGAAGTCCGACGTTGAGTAGAAGTCCGCTGACGAGCAGAAGTCCGACGATAGGGAGAAGTTCGGTGTCGGATATTAGTCCATCGAAAGTCCTGCAAGGCAAAAGTTCAGCGACAAGAGGAAATTCAACATCATGTAGAAATTTAACTTTGTGTAGAAGTCCTTTGATGGCATTCTGGTGACGTTAACCAAGGATATATAATCTATCCAAGGTTGTTTGTCAGAGCCCTTGCTCAATGATGTTATCTGATATTGGATAAACCAATGAAGTAAGACCTATCCAAGGTTGTATGTCAGAGCCTTTACTCGACGATGTTAACCTGTGTGGAAGAGGTCGAGAGAATCCACCAATGATGTAAGACCTATCCGAGGTTATATGTCAGAGCATTTGCCCAATGACGTTAACCTGTATGGAAGAGATCGAGGTAATTCACCAAGGATGTTGGACCTTTCCGAGGTTGTATGTTAGAGTCTTTGCTCGACGACGTTAACATGTGTGG